TGGTTTTTTGAGTGGGCTAATGAGAGAATGGTTGTGCTTTTCTTGGGGAGAGGAAACATGAAGAGCTTGTCTTGGGGTGAAGGGTGGGGTAGGAGGGAGGATGGGACCTTGGTGATGAGCAGAACTAAGTCTAGATAGAATCTGGCCTGGTCCTGAGATAGGACTGCCATGTTGACAAATTCTTTATTTGGATGATGACCCAAGACAGCTGTTCCTGAAGCACTGATAGGGATATAGCACAGTCAAATCAATAATTCACTAATTATACATCTGCTGTCAGTTGCACACATCTTGAGGGAAAGAATGCCTGCATTTTGAGAACTATCTTGCCCTAGGGCCAAGGGTGCGAGACGAGGGGCATAGATAGATAGGTGTGCTGCTTACATCCTTATTCATATCACCTGATGCTTCTTAGGTGCTTAGTATAAGGAATAACCAGATGAAAGTACGTGAGTGCATTGAATAGGAAGAGGAAGTTCCCTTGGGGAATTTGGCTTCAGATGTGAGGTTATAGTGCTCTCTAGTGGACACTTGTGAATTTACACAATATCAGACTGGATGCAGCAAATTGGTTTCTGCTTATTGGTTTTATGTTTTGTTTTTTTTTTTTCAACCAAGGGGTTGGTCTCCAGAGTGTTTGGAAAGCAGGCTCATAACAAACACTGTGTGTGTGTGTGTGTGTGTGTGTGTGTGTGTGTGTGTATGTGTTGGGAGCTATGAAGCTTTGCCTAACTTCACCATGCAGAAATCAGGAAATGGTTAGAGAAGAAAGATGTGGGAGTAGTTGATGGCAATAAACCAAAGATTTTATTTATTTATTTATTTTGATTGATAGTTGCCATTTTAATTGATTTAATTGAAATCGATTTGGCATAAAGGAGTGCACAGAAAATTATTAACAGTGACCTCAAAAATTTCTTTCTTTTTTTTTTTAAGATTTCATTTTTAAAATTAAAAAAAATTTTTCCCAATTATTTTTATTAGTTGGAGGCTAATTACTTTACAATATTGTAGTGGTTTTTGCCATACATTGACATGAATCAGCCATGGATTTACATGTGTTCCCCATCCCGATCCCCCCTCCCACCTCCCTCCCCATCCCATCCCTCTGGGTCTTCCCAGTGCACCAGCCCTGAGCACTTGTCTCATGCATCCAACCTGGGCTGGTGATCTGTTTCACCCTAGATAATATACATGTTTCAATGCTGTTCTCTTGAAACATCCCACCCTCGCCTTCTCCCAGAGTCCACAAGTCTGTTCTATACATCTGAGTCTCTTTTTCTGTTTTGCATATAGGGTTATCGTTACCATCTTTCTAAATTCCATATATATGTGTTAGTATACTGTAATGGTCTTTATCTTTCTGGCTTACTTCACTCTGTATAATGGGCTCCAGTTTCATCCATCTCATTAGAACTGATTCAAATGAATTCTTTTTAATGGCTGAGTAATATTCCATGGTGTATATGTACCACAGCTTCCTCATCCATTCGTCTGCTGATGGGCATCTAGGTTGCTTCCATGTCCTGGCTATTATAAACAGTGCTGCGATGAACATTGGGGTGCACGTGTCTCTTTCAGATCTGGTTTCCTTGGTGTGTATGCCCAGAAGTGGGATTGCTGGGTCATATGGCAGTTCTATTTCCAGCTTTTTAAGAAATCTCCACACTGTTTTCCATAGTGGCTGTACTAATTTGCATTCCCACCAACAGTGTAAGAGGGTTCCCTTTTCTCCACACCCTCTCCAGCATTTATTGCTTGTAGACTTTTGGATAGCAGCCATCCTGACTGGCGTGTAATGGTACCTCATTGTGGTTTTGATTTGCATTTCTCTGATAATGAGTGATGTTGAGCATCTTTTCATGTGTTTGTTAGCCATCTGTATGTCTTCTTTGGAGAAATGTCTGTTTAGTTCTTTGACCCATTTTTTGATTGGGTCACTTATTTTTCTGGAATTGAGGTGCATGAGCTGCTTGTATATTTTTGAGGTTAACTCTTTGTCAGTTGATTTGTTTGCTATTATTTTCTCCCATTCTGAAGGCTATCTTTTCACCTTGCTTACAGTTTCCTTCATTGTGCAAAACTTTTAAGTTTAATTAGGTCCCATTTCTTTATTTTTGCTTTTATTCCCATTACACTTGGAGGTGAATCATAGAGGACCCTGCTGTGATTTGTTGGAGAGTGTTTTGCCTATGTTTTCCTCAAGGACTTATATAGTTTCTGGTCTTACATTTAGAACTTTAATCAATTTTGAGTTCATTTTTGTGTATGGTGTTAGAACATTTTCTAGATTCATTCTTTTACAAGTGGTTGACCAGTTTTCCCAGCACCACTTGTTAAAGAAATTTTCTTTTCTCCATTGTATATTCTTGCCTCCTTTGTCAAAAATATGTTGTCCATAGGTGCATGGATTTATCTCTGGGTTTTCTATTCTGTTCCATTGATCTATATTTCTGTCTTTGTGCCAGTACCATACTGTCTTGATGACTGTGGCTTTGTAGTAGAGCCTGAAGTCAGGCAGGTTGATTCCTCCAGTTCCATTCTTCTTTCTCAAGATTGCTTTGGCTATTCAAGGTTTTTTTGTATTTCCATACAAATTGTGAAATTATTTGTTCTAGTTCTGTGAAAATTATCGATGGTAGCTTGATAGGGATTGCATTGAATCTGTAGATTGCAATTTCACTATATTGATTCTTCGGATCCATGAACATGGTATATTTCTCCATAATCCATAATTCAGTTCTTAAAGAAACATAGCTCCAGCTGCTCCAAAAAATCTTTTCAGTCTTGCTCCCCACAAAGAACTCAGATCCTCCTCTTCCATAGTGAAACTCCTACCCCTAGTGGATTTCCTGTGCTGTTAAATGTAGCTGGAATTATTTAAAAAATAATTGAGCATCTTTTAAAAAGCAAAACACTGATGATTCCTCAAAGGAAAAAAAGAAATCTGTTTTGTTAACTAGTAGCCAGATACATTGATACAGATATAGACTCTACATTTTTAAAAAATTTTAACTAAGGTAAAACATAACATAAAGTTTACTGTCTCATTATTTTTAAGTGTACAGTTCATTAGTGCTAAGTATATTCATATTGTTGTGCAACCAATCTCAAAATTTGCAAAACCAAAACTCTATACTCATAAAGCAGCTCCCTATTTCCTCTTCCCACACAGCCCTTCAGAGAACCATCGTTCTATTTTTTGTGTCTATGTCTTTGACTACTCTGTGAAGTGAAGTGAAAGCCGTTCAGTCGTGTCCAACTCTTCGCGACCCCATGGGCTATATAGTCCATGGAATTCTCCAGGCCAGAATACTGGAGTAGGTAGCCTTCCCCTTCTTCAGTGGATCTTCCCAACCCAGGGATTGAATCCAGGTGTCCCATATCGCAGGTGGATTCTTTAACAGCTGAGCCACAAGGGAAGCCAAGATTACTGGAGTGGGTCGCCTATCCCTTCTCCAGTGGATCTTCCCAACTCAGGGATCGAATCAAGGTCTCCTGCAATAGCAGGTGGATTCTTTACCAACTGAGCCATGAAGGAAACCCAAAATTTAATAGAATTTTGAAATTTAGTTTAATTTCCCCCCTTTGTTGTGATAGAATGGATATGTAGCACTGAATAATGTAAAGGTGTACAGCATGGTAACTTCTCAAACATGTACTGTGAAATGATTACCACAGAAAGTTTAGTTAAATTTCACTGCCTCAGATAGTTTAAAAAAAAATGTTTTTCCCCTTGAGAAGTTCTAGTCTCTTGCTGCTACTGCTGCTGCTAAGTCACGTCAGTCGTGTCCGACCGTGTGTGACCCCATAGACCGCAGCCCACCAGGCTCCCGTCCCTGGGATTCTCCAGGCGAGAACACTGGAGCGGGTTGCCATTTCCTCTCTGGTCTCTTAGCAACCAGTCACCATGTTGTCCACTACATGCCCAGTACGCGTTTATCTTATGACTAGGATGTGTACATTTTGACCACCTTCATTCAATTCCCCCACCCTTTTCCTCCCTTTTCAAAGCTGAACGATAGTTCAGCCATATACCACATTTTATTTATCCCTTCACAGACTCCAAGCTTTTGAGATATACAAAGTCTTTCCAAGGCTGAAGAGATACAAGACTGTTTCAGTGGCTAGGTAACAGCTGTTGGATGTGGTTTCTGGATAAAAGAATGAAGGATCAGGATCTCTGCCAGCTCACCTAAACAACCAGAAGGTTTCATCTCTGCTATCAAAAATTCTGTTTATTTATTTATTTTAATTTTTTTACATACTCTTATCTTTTATTTATTTATTTAGAAACAATGTGCAATTGAGATTTAGTTTTAATGAGAGAGGGAAAAAGCTATGGTACTTGCTAGAAATTATGAATAATTATTCTTTTAGAAAAGTTAAAAGTGCTAACCAATAAAGAAAAGGAAAGATTACCCTTTATGCTCAAAAACTGGATTTTTCTGTGAAATTTTAGTAAGTGGAATTAAGTTGCTGAGATTTATAGAAATTCTGCCAAGTATGTATTAAAAGGTATTGAATCAAGGTGAAATAAGCTCTATATCCATCCAAACTGCAAATAGTTCCAGTTTTATCTTTTGATTTGCAATCTTACTGCATACTTTTAAAGGAAACAGCTAAAGTGATTTAATTGTCAAAGTACTAAAATGTTGATCTGTACCCTTTTGTTAAGCTCTCTGTGGGAGAAGATTGGCTGGAGGTTTCAGAAAACAGATTTTGGTGTTGAATGCAAGAGAGTCCCTCCTCTAACATCAACATTTAAAAAATATAATCTGAAATGTGTGAAAGCTGTTTCAACAGTAACAAAGACAGAATTTCAGATATGTAGATCAAACTAATAAATACCTTTAGCTTGAACATTCAAAATATTGATGTTTGATTCACCACATTCACAAATTATTAAAAAAATTACATGACAGTTTCAATAGATAAAGAAAAAGCACTTGATAACATTTAATATATATTCATGAAAACTAACAAACTAAGAGTAGAATGACATTTCCTTACCTTGATAAAAGCTGTTTACAAAAGCCCTGTAGCAAGCAACAAAACTTTCCTTTTGAGATTGGAACAAGACATGGATGCTTGCAATCATCACTTCTATTCAACACTGTCCTTGAGGTCGTAGTCTGTGATATATGAAAAGGGAAAAAAAATGAAAAGGTAAAGGACTGGAAAGGAACAAGCAAAACCGGCATTACTTGCAGACCCTATGATTTTAGGTATTTAAAAACCTTAAATAATGTAAAGATAAATAATTAAAACAGCACAGTTCTAGATATGAAACCAGCATTAACAAAACTAATTTTATTTCTACATTCTGGTAAGAAACCAAAATTGAAATAAAAAATTCACAATGGCATTAAAAAAAAATGAAGTCCTAGGAATAAGTCTACCAAAATATGCACAAGACCTCTTTAGGGAAAATGGTAAAACTCTAATGATAGACATTACAGAAGATCAAAATAGTTTATGTGGTGCCGAAATGAGCACTGCAGAAGATCTAGAGAGATAGAAAGACTTATTTATAGATTTGAAGAGTAATATATTTAGTCTCTTCAAATAGATTTATAGATTCAATGCAATCCCAAAGAAAGTGCCAGCATAACAATCATATTGTAAAATATTTGTGGGAATGTAATTGGATAAGAATTACTAATAACAGGAACAATGAAGAAGAGGGAAGAGTGTTCTGTGGACTAAACAAAACCTGTACATAACAGCATCTCTGTGTGTCTAACACCATTATGTGTTACCATTATGCTCATTATGCCCATTATGTGTGTCTACCAGTATGCCCAAGAGAAAGACTGAAGTGGATGCTACAGGAGATAAAACCAAGGTGAAGGACAAACCACAGAGAAGATCTACAAGATTATCTGCTAAACCTGTCCCTCCAAAGCCAGATCCCAAGCCTAAAAAGGCACTTGCAAAGAAGAAAAAGAAGGCACCCAAAGGGAAAAAGAGTGATGCTAGCAAGGATGGGAATAATCCTACAAAAATTCGAGCTACCAAAACAGACAAGATGCAGAAAGCTGAAGGTGCTGTAGATACCAAGTGAAGTTTCATGATTCCATCCTATTCCTGTTTCCACTCCCATTCTACTTCCACTCTTATCACCATCTCTGTACTCCTCTCCTCAGCTCCATTCTCCATCCCTACAGATCCTTCTTTCTATCTTTATTCTCATTCTGATCCATATCATATCCTCAGATTCTATCCCATCCCCATCTCTATCTGGTCTTAATTCCACCTGCATATCCATCTTAATTTTTGTCTTCAGTTTCATTCATATTTATCATCAGTTCCTGCTTCTTCCAGGGTTTATTTCTACCCTTTTCCAATGCCCATCCTTGGTGATGGTGAATCTGTCTTTATTGCCATCTCCATCTTATTTCCAATGCACACCATTCCTATTCTTTTTTTAAAAATAATTTATACATTTCTTTCCTTATTCTTGATTGTGCTACATCTTCGTTGCTGCTCACAGGCTTTCGCTAGTTGCAGGGACTACTCTTCATTGCAGTTCATTGTGGTGGCCTCTCTTGATGTGGAGCCCAGGCTCTAAGTTCACGGGCTCCGTAGCTGTGGCACATAGGTTTAGTTCCACAGCACGAGGCGTATTCCCAGACCGGGGATCACATCTGTGTCCTCTGCATTGGTGGGCAGATTCTTATCTACTGAATCACCAGGGAAGTCCATTGTCCCTATTCTTTTTTTTTTTTTTGGTTTTCATTGTCCCTATTCTTATACGTTTCCTTCCCATCATCTCTTCCTCCAAGGTGAAAATTGAGGAAGATTCATGAAGAAATCTAAAAGTTCAATGGAATGTTGGGGACTATGAGAGTTGATGATCCTTCCATATAAAACTTTCTCCTCAGTGTCCAGGTGAGAAACTTCAAAAGAAATCACCCAAGTTAGATTTCAGATAGAACTTCTCCACTGTTCATGGTGTATTTAGGTCAGGGTAGGGACCAGGATAGGAAGTTGGAGGGAGCAGAGGAGAGGTAAGGCATCCTCAAAGTGATGTGGAGACAAGTCAGAGAACAAAAGAGGCAAAAGAGAAAGATGTATATGGAGCAAGACATCTCAAGTCCAGTTTAATCTGAACCTCTTCCCCATTCCCTTCCCCTCTCTCCCACAGGTCATGCTGTGATACAAGGAATTCGAAGTGGAAAAAGTGAAAGTGTTAATCGCTCAGTCATGTCCCACTTTGTGACCCCATGGCCTATAGCCTGTCAGGCTCCACTGTCCATGGGATTCTCCAGGCAAGAATACTGGAATGGGTTGCCATTTCCTTCTTCAGGGGATCTGCCCAACCCAGGAATTGAACCTGGGACTCCTGCATTGCAGGCAGATTCTTTACCAACTGAGCTATGAGGTAAGCCTAGAACATTATCTATGCTAACTGTGCTTCTTCACTTCTCCGTTTGATTCTTTGTTTTGGTTTCTGGTCAAGTCTGTCTGTGACTTGTCTAGTTTGTCTTTTGAACTGTGCCCCTTTCCATAGCTGGTCCATGAAGGGAGGGCACCAGACCTCTAGGCCAGGCTGACTTGCATTCCCGACAATCTGTTAATACTAGAAGTGAGTCAGGAAATTCCCTGGCTATCCAGTGGTTAGGACTCTGTGCTGTCACTACCAAGGGCCCAGGTTCAAACCCTGGTGGGAGAACCAAGATCCTACAAGCTGTGAAGCAGAAAAAGAAAAATAAAAACAAAAAACCTAACAACAACAAAAACAGAATTTAATTGTGCCAGGCTGATGAGTTTCTCTGAGACGTAGCAGCAAAGTCAGGAATCTAGTTTTATGATTGACATTTGGTAATCTCTGCCAAGGGATGGTGAGGTCTCTCTCTTGGGTGAGATATGATAGAGATTGTTTGGGAGACCCAGGTTTGACCTCCAAGTCCCTTGGAGAAGGGAATGGCACTCACTCCAATATTCTTGCCTGAAGAATTCCATGGACATAGGAGCCTGGTGGGCTACAGTTCTTGGGGTCACAAAGGGTCCAACATGGCTGAGTGACTAACACTTCTTCAGCTATCTATTACCAAATAACAAAAATCACCTAGAATAGACTGTTGAGAAACTGAACCAAATCTATTACGTCATTTATGAGGCATGTTACTTCCTACAAGGTCATGTCGGAGTCTGACTTTTTTTTAATCTCAATGGATACATTTTGTATTAATTTACCTCTCTTTTCCTCTTCAAAATAATATGAACAAGACTCTAATGTATTAGAGATGTTGAGCTGTAATACAGGGCTAAGGAGTCTCTACACTTGGAAGTATTTACATGGAAACAAAATGGGATTACAGTTTTAATGTTTCTCATTGCATGATTGGTTTCAGAATATTTGTATTAATTTCTGAAATAATGACCATGTCACTGACTAATAATAATGATCACTATTTTGTTACTGGTTTTATGTTGTGTTTAATAGTTAGTGAAACATCTAAGTATTATCAACCTTTATTCCTAGTAATTTATTATTGATTTGTCACAATACTCAGCACCCCTTTGCAGAGATAGTTGTCAAAAATCAAGTTGCTTGATGAGTGAAAGAAAAGATCTAAAAGGAATTGAAAACAATAGAACACATTTGTATCTGTTTGGATTTTAAATGGGCTCTAAAGTTGGACTGTGAAGAAAGCTGAGTGCCGAAAAATTAATGTTTTTGAACTGTGGTGTTGGAGAAGACTCTTGAGAGTCCCTTGGACTGCAAGGAGATCCAACCAGTCCATCCTAAAGGAGATCAGTCCTGGGTGTTCATTGGAAGGACTGATGCTGAAGCTGAAACTCCAATACTTTGGCCACCTCATGCGAAGAGTTGACTCATTGGAAAAGAGCCTGATGCTGGGAGGGATTGGGGGCAGGAGGAGAAGGGGCGACAGAGGATGAGATGGCTGGATGGCATCACTGACTCGATGGACATGAGTTTGAGTAAACTTCGGGAGCTGGTGATGGACAGGGAGGCCTGGCGTGCTGGGATTCATGCATAGGTCGCAAAGAGTCGGACACGACTGAGTGACTGAACTGAACTGAACTGAACGGAATATTATAAAATGGAAGTGAGATGAGAGACAATAAATTCTTCTGAGATAGACACATACCCTCTCTTATGTATGTGTCTCTGTGTGTGTGTCATGTTTGATATGCCTATTTTTTTTTAATTGGAGTAAAATTGCTTTACAGTTTTCTGTTCGTTTCTGCCATACAGCAAAGCAACTCAGCCATAATTATAAATATATTACCTCCTTCCTGACTTGTATATGTTTTTGATGTATGTAAGAATAGAATGTATTTAATGAACTTCTTCCTTAAGCCTAAATAGATGTGGTATTTTTTCACATGCGAATTAATTTGCAAGTTTTTATTTTTATTGTGGTAGTTGTATTATTTTTTTAAACAAAATGAAACAAACCTTCAATTCATGTATACATTTATCCAATGATAAAAGGAGTAAAAGAATTTTTGTGAGCCAACAAGAAAATAAAATCATTAAGAAATTATACTGTGGTTATTAAGGAGTTCAGGAAGATGGTTCCCAATCAGAGAAATCAATATTGTTTCTGGCAAGTAGATGCAGAGTTAATTGAGTAAGTAGGCATAAACATTTCACTTGCAAATACATTTCTTCTTTCTCAAAAAGTTAGTTCCTCTTATATTATTTAAGATAGGACCTGGAAACCTACCTGAAATGAGGAGGTCTTGGGTAGCTAAATGCTAATAAGCAGAGGGTCTTTTATTTTACCAGGTATATGGGGACTTAATTCCCTGAGGTACTGCTCCTAGGTTTTGCTGTTAGCAAACATTTCATTAATTATGTTTCTGCTTCTGTGTATTCGCCTGTGAAGTCAGAAACAACTTTGCAAAGGCTGAGTTTTGAAGCTTCACTATTGCTGCCAGATTGACCTATGGTAGAAGAAAATAGCAATTTGTTTGTATGGTGTGCCTCACAGTTACCCTGAAACTATCTTCTTGTCCAACCAAAGAGGAAACCTAATGAAACTCAAAAAGATCCTCCCTCCATCATTCTCAGCTCCTCTGGATTGGTCATTGTGTCTTTGAAACAGTCTCCTTCACTACATTATTTAGGAATATTGCTATACTTTGACCATGGTTTCTTTTTTATTGAAATATGAGGCATATATCATGAAATTGATCTTTCTTATGTAAGTATGCAGTTCTTTTTTTTATTGTTTTTTATTATATTTTCAAGATTGTTCAATTATCTCCAGTATCTAAATCCAGAATATTTTCATCACTTCAATAAGAAACCCTCACCTGCAAAAAAAAAAAAAAAAAAAAAAAAAACCTCACCTGCTACTTGCCAGTTCTCCTTCCTTAGCCCATAGCAACCACTAATTCTATGCAGTTTCCTATTATGGATGTCTCATACAAACAGAATCATGTGATACCTTTTTTTTCTAATATGTTTTGCTCATTTGTTTATTTTATTTTCCTGTCAACCTTCTTTCCTTGAAGATAATTTTCTCAAGTTACATCCACGTTGCTCTACTTATTAGTATTTTGTTTCATCATTTTGGGAAAATAATATTTCATTTTAAAGATACCATACACTTTGTAGATCCTCTCTTCAGTTAAATGACTATCAGGTTTTTTCTACTTTTATCTATTATGAATAATGATGCTATAACACTAGTAACAATGCTACCTTTAAAGGTAGCTTTCATCACCACACATTGTCTTATTTTCATCCTACCACATTTCTTACAAGCATTTCATTGACTTTATGACTCCCTCACATTTCCTAAATAATGTATTTTCTTCTTTGTGAATTACATATCATTTATATAAGAATATTTATATTATATTTAAGACCTCAGGAATAAAATAAATGATTTTTTTTCATTTCCTGCAATTTCTAGTGCAAAAATTTGAAAAGGTAATACTATCTAAATATTTACTTACTACTAAGTATAGTACCAATATTTCTCTCTATTAAAATGGAGGCTGAGGAACAAAAAGTAAGAATGTGACTGTGTTCAGAATTTTCTACCAAGGAAGTTCATATATGCAAAGATGACTCATTTAAAATTTTTTACACATGATTTTTCTAAATAAACAGAGTTCATAATTTTTTTAAAGTTATTTGTTTGCTACTATCCACATTCATTCTATGAGACAGAAGTCTCAATATTACATCTGCCCAAATGCTCCCTTCTAGACAGCAACGGAACTCTTTCAGTCAGTCAAGTCAGTCACACAATCATGTCTGACTCTATGCTACTCCATGGACTGCAGCATGCCAAGCTTCCCGGTCCATCACCAACTCCAGGAGCTTGCTCAAACTCATGTCCATTGAGTCAGTGACTTTGGTGCCCAAGAAAATAAAGTCTGTCACTGTTTCCATTGATTCCCCATCTATTTGCCATGAAGTGACGGGGCCAGGTGACATCATCTACTCCATGGACGTGAGTTTGAGTAAGTGCCGGGAGTTGGTGATGGGCAGGGAAGCCTGCATCCTGCAGTCCATGGGACTGTAGAGTCGGACATGACTAAGCTTCTGAACTGAACTGAACTGACTTGGTAATGCCATCCAACCATCTCATTCTCTGTCATCCCCTTCTCCTCCAGCTTTCAATCATTCCCAGCATCAGGGTCTTTTCCAATGACAGTCGTGGTCATTGGACACTCATTTTCCAATGAGTCATAGTCCTGGTATCTTTGAAAGTAGCCCAATCATACCAGATATGAAGATCTTAGAGCAAACTTTGAGTATGAAGTCCCTTGGACTGCAATAAGAGCAAAGCAATCAATCCTAAAGGAAATCAGTCCTGAATATATATTGGAAGGACTGATGCTGAAGCTGAAACTCCAATACTTTGGCCAGCTGATGCAAAGAACTGACTCTCTAGAAAAGACCCTGATGCTGGGAAAGGTCGAATACAGGATGAGAAGGGGATAACAGAGGATGAGATTGGCTGGATGGTGACCCAATGGACATGAGTTTGAGCAAGCTCTGGGAGATAATGAAGGACAAGGAGGCCTGGCATGCTGCAGTCCATGGGGTAACAAAGGGTTGGAAATGACTAAGTGACTGAACAACAAATCCTTCATTATAAACATGTTCTGTATCTTCTTTATCCATTCATCTGTTAACAGACATTTAGGATACTTCTATGTCTTGGCTATTGTAAACAGCACTGCAGTGAACATTGGGGTACACATATCCTTTCAAACTACAG